GTTTTGCAGATCTTTGTTGAAATGTGGCTTCATCATTATTCACTGGAAATGTATCAGAAAATGCAGTCCCCTCATGTCAAGGTAATAGTTTGTACTTCATGAGCATCATCTGATGGTTGACCTCTATCTTGGGGTAAATCTATTCTGTGGAGACGTATTTTGGTGTATTGGTCCAAAGGAAAAAAAAAAAAAAATCGGAGTATCTACATGAGTGTGTCAAAATTGCTAATCCAGATATGAAGAATGTTGTGAGTAAGTGTGAATTTGCCTTCATTACAGAAGTTGTGTTGGTTTTGTTTTGTTTTTTGTAAAAGACAAGTTTGTGGGATGGTCACAACAATCTGAACAGCAATAATCAATCTACTAATGACCAGGAAGATACCATTATAAAACCATAGTGTTAAATCCCACTGGGGCAACATGGCTGCTAAAAATAGCTAAAACTGATTTCCAGCAGTGATAGCAACTGTTACTGAAATACCAATTAGTCATTTCTAAGATCTGTAACCATTTTTTAGCATAAATCCAAATTAAAAAAGGAGCTCGTACTAAACTGTCCTTCAGTGTTAAGTGAATAAGCAATTTTTGTTGTTTCATATTCTGAAATATGCTTTTCACCATAATGGTGTCAGAAGCAGTTCTGTGGCTACGAGTTCAGAATATCTTACAAGCTCTTGCTCAGATAATACACTGTTTTAAGCAGTTTGTGGTGGCCTGTTCAGTAACAAACTACTGCATGTAAAAACTAAGTGTTGGGGAGGCTAAGATCAAAGGCATTATAAATATAAAGGGAATTTGAAGGAGAAAATGTTGATCCTCTGAATTCCCTCTGGGTCACAGTGGGACTTTGGTAGAAGGGGAGAGAAATATAAAAGCTACTTGGGATTTATTCCTGTGTGAAAGAGCAATATGAGAGTTGATTGACTAAGAAATTCTGATCCTTCATTCCACAGGCTATGGCTATAAAAATAAGAAACATATTTATATTTTGCTAGGGAAAAACATTGGAGAGCCGAAGTGTGATGGGTTTTGTCTTTTATTCTTAAAGTTGAGGTCAAAGTGCAAATGCACTAATGTTGCAAAGTCTCCACTTGGGACTCCCAGCAGCATGGCTGTGCACCTGTGATGGAAAGGCTTTGCTTGAAGTACCTTTGGTCTGTCTGTCTGTCCAGTCTCTGTGCATCAAGCGCTGTGCGTAGGCCAGAAATAATGATTGCTTTAAACTTCTCTCCTCTGTTCACCCTCTGTATTTCAGATGCTCTCTTCTAACACTAGGGAGCAGCAGTTATAGACAATGACTATCAATGTTATGGTGGAATAGGGCCTAGGTAGAGCTTAAAGTTCTCCGAAATCATCACTTCAGGATCCTTCACAAGGTGTGTTGAGCCACAGCTTGAGGCCGTAACTCCCTGATAGTATTGTAATTTCATCTTTGATGGAAAGTAATAGTGTGCATGTAAAAAAGGAAGTCTTCACTCTGTGGGGGTTAGAACACCTGAATAGGGGACTGGAATTCCCTGTGACATGCGTAAATGGACGAAAGATCCCTCCTGCAGGACTGAGGAAAGGTTCCAGATCAGTTGGGGACAGGGCCGTTCATAAGCCTGTGATACTTAAACTAAGCTTTGTAGACTGGTCTTGGGGTGGGCTGAAGGAGAATAGTCTGCTTCATAGTTCCTCAGATGAGGAAGTAGAATATGCAGAAATGCAAGTTTTGTTTTAACATAGGGGTTAACGGACTTGACTGGAAACCCAAGATCACCCTAAACCTTATTCTTAAAATTATTAATAATTATGCAGGCTCACTTGATTCCATTTTGCCTTCTGTGCATTTGGAAGGAGGGGTAATTAGTGACCATTCATCTCTGAATCTAGACCTGTTTGACCATCAGTGACTTGAAATGGCTACATACCTGTATTGGAAGGTGGGATGAGGTTCCACAGAACTTGCTCTTTCTTTGTCCAGCAGCCAGACCTGTTCGCTTTGATGTGCCAAGCGAGATCCCAGATATGTAACGGTCCTGTGAAGTGCCTCAAGGAATGATACATTTTCCTTAAACCTTGTTAATGCCATCGTAGATGTCTCTTTACAAGTAGAAGGCAGTGGAATGGGAATAAATAGTAAATAACTTCTTTTGAGAAGATGTACTTCTTTTCTACTTTACTGCTTTGAATTCTTTCTGGGTCTGGTGTGAATCTGAGGTTGACACTATTTGCTATGCTGAGTTTCACCGTTTTCCCCATTAATTCAACTCTTTTCCCATTCTTTTATGTTGTCTATTTCCTTTTTCTTTCTCGGATGATCCAGAGCCCAAGTGTGCAGCAACTCTTTTCCTATTTCCTTCTGCTGTAATCACAATGAACCCTTAAAAAGAAATTTTTTTATAAAACTTTATGTAATGCTTCCTGACCTTCAAATACCAGGTGCCACAGACCCCAACACTGCATGTGGAACACCCATTAGACTACAGGCTCTTGCTGATTCTTGTGGCAGGCGAGTCAGTTATGAAGCAGACAATGTGTTTGAGCTGTTGGGAGCTTGCTGTAACAATCTTACCACTCTTAAGAGTGTAAAACCAAAAGATACCAAACTGGCACTAGAGGAGGTTGGGTAGAGGCTGTTCAAAGGCAGCAGAGGTGTGATCTGGAGAGTTAGTTTAGATGCCTGACAATAGTCATTGGGATCTGTGTAGTGCACATTTTTTGTTTTATGTTTTTTCATTAATTTCATACATGTGTGTCACTGGTGCTACAGTATCCTCTTCACCATCACATTGTCAAAAAATACTCTTTACCTTATTCATCCAAGAAAGGATCTGGCTGAGGCTTGCATCAGCATATAACACTGTATGTTAGGTACGTCTTTTGCCTTTTTAGACATGTGATGTTCCTGTAAAAGTAATTTCCTCTTTTGAGGAAATTCACAAGACCTGCAGCCTTCTCAAATGGCCTCTAAGTAGAAAGAGAAGTCAGAGGATTTCTCTGAACTGGAAACTTACTGGACAGGCTCACGGTGATTATAAAAGCCAAACTTGTTTTTCTTCCTGTTCCTTGGGAAGAAGAAAGTATAGACTTAGAGTTTCTTTGCTATATACAAACCCTGCTTCTCCAGCAGCACAGGAAGAAATGACAAAGTTTTCAAAATAGTATTAAAAAAGCTTGCAGAACACCTAACGCTTTTACTCCATTATTTAATAAAACACCATAACAGTGTGTAAATCCTTGTTGCTGCAGTTCAGTTAACTTCCAAAATGGGGGGTTTATTTGGCAAAAGCTCCATATTCCCTACTGGTACTTGATCTGAGGATAGCAAAGAGAGCAACCATAGCCACTTACAGCTATACTTTTTTTGACATCTACTCCCAGTTGTATTTCCAAGTTGATAAAGGGTATGAAATACTGTGGAATCAGTCTACTGAACACTAGAAAGAGGAGGATACTGTGGCTGCAGTTGTTATTGTGATATGTTGTCCCTGACTGTATTTGTGATGTTCATTTTTCCCCCCACCCTTCTTCCTTGGGCTCATTCTCACTTTTTTTTTCTCTTGCTCTCTTCTCTCCTTTTTTCCCTCCCCCCCTTCCTTTTTGTTTCTGTTGTCTCAGCTGGAGGTTCTCCACTACCGACTCAGTATCTCCAGTAAACACCACGGTAGTCCTGCCCAATCCAGCTACCAGGCCCTCCACGCATACCAAGTATTATCATCTTTTCATTTTGTTTCCTTTTTAAAAATCTTGTTCCATCATATAATCTGCAAAGTGTATTGGTGCTACCTGTACAGCAGCCTTTTCTGCTAAGGTGTGGTTTTACAACTTGATTGAGAATATTGCATTGAGATTTACTAAATTTTCAGTGAAAACAGATACTGAGAGGTATTAGCAAAGGTCAAGGAGAAAATAGTCAAAATCTACCATATTATGAGGACTAATTGGGAACTCCATTGAGAGATGCATTCTTATAATGCATTGTAGAAAGAGGCTTGTCAGCTATGCTGCCATTTTTTTGACACCAAAACTGGCTTCACCAATGGCAGATTTCTGCCCTTCACACACTAGTCATTTAAGCAAACCTTGCATGGAAGAGATCAGAATTTGCATGGCTGTCACCAAAAATTAAGGTAGGTAACATGTAAGTTCTTTTAGCCAGTGAAATGTCATTGGATTGTACTAAATTTGTAGTGGCAATGTGAACTTGACTGTCCAGTTTTGCAAAAGCACATGAATAGTACATTTGCAGATTGTTCAGGAAATGTGCATGCAGAAACATTCCTGTTGGAACAGACTGCTGATTCCTCTTTC